ATACTCTTATAATTAAAGCTAGCTTATAGCTAGTTACTTAAAGAAAGACTATAAATTAGAATAAGAGTAAGAAGTAGTATAAAGAAGTAGTAGTACGTAATAGCTAGCTAGCTTAGTAATACTATAGACGCTATAGTAAGCTAGAGTATAATATATAAACGTACTAAATAGTTAAAAATAATATAGATAAGTTAGATAGCTTATCTAGATTTATCTTAAGTAGCTTAGCGTTAAAGTAATCTAAATAAGATAGTAGTATTTAGTAGAGGCTTAGTATTTTTAGAGTATTTATTTATATAGAGCGTTTATTTATATAGAGTATTTATTTATATAGAGTATTTATTTATATAGAGCGTTTATTTATATAAAGCGTTTATTTATATAGAGCGTTTATTTATATAAAGCGTTTATTTATAATATATATTATAAAGAATATATATATAAATTTTTATAGATAAGTATTAAGATTTTACTTAGTTATTTAAGAAAACCTATTAATTTTCGTTAATTTTTCTTACTAAGAAATTATAAGACTTTTATTTATATAGAGCTTTTATTTATAAAGTATATTATTAAAAATATTTACGCTTATTTATTATAAATTTATAGTTAGGTAGTATTAAAAAATAGTACTTCTTATTATTTAGAGAAAGGCTTTTCTACTAAGCTAATATACTAACCTCTACGCTTTACTATCTTTTAAGTTTTTCTACTACTAAGCTTCTATTTCTCTATCTACGTATAGACGTATAGTAATAAAGTAGTCTAGTAACGTAGATAACGTTAGCTCTAAGGCTACTAAACGTTTACGCACGCGCTTAAGTATACTCTAGCTCTTAGATAGTTAGCGTAAATTTAGATTAGACGCGGGTAATACGCTAGCCGCTATCTACTATAGGTAGTAGTACTAGGTATACTATACTTAAGAAATACTTAATAGAGTCTACGTCTTTTCTAACAGAGACTATAACTTTAGTAAGCTATATTATCTTAGTCTTTTTAAGCTACTAACCTCTAGCTATATATATAATACCTTCTATCTCTATAAGAACTACTACGCTATCTTTAATAATACGTATAAGCTAATACTACTTATTATTCTAACGTATCTTAACTACTTCTTTACTATTAAGAAGAACTAGCAGGCTGCTATTACCTCCGCCGCGCTTTCTACTAACTCTCTCGCTAATACCTCTACTAAGCTCTCTGTTAAGCTACGTCTACCTCTAATAGTAGAGAGCTACTTTAAGTACTACGTTTTCTAAAACCTCTCTAGCAAATTATATATAATTATAGATAGTATTTGTAGTAGTCTATATACTTACTATATAGAGAAGAATTATTTCTTATTATTTCTAGAAAGCTAGATCTCTAGGTTCTAGAACTAGTATTAGTATAGCAACTCTATAGCTATGCTTTATTACGCTATTCTCGCCGTATCTAAGATTATATAGCCTAATTAGGTTCTATATTATATTGTTTGCTAGCTAAGATAGCTAGATCTACTCTACTTTAAGAGTAATAAGCTCTAGTAGCAGCTACTTAATACGCGCTATAATTTCTAAATACTACCTTCTCTACTACTTCTGCCTACTAACTCTAATATAGCCTCGTAGCCTTATTTAGATAGTTATAGCTTATACTAAAAGCTCTAAGACTCTACTTCTACTAACGCTACAGGTTCTGCGTAGTCT